ACGAGAGTTCGACCGTCGCGTCCGACGATGTCCACCCTATGCTCTACAGCAGGCTAAGAGCAGGGACGGTGACTTGTGCGAAGATTTAGTTAATAGTGAAAGTAGACTTGCACAACACCAACCGCACTCTCTCCTCCTCGTCCCCCCCCCTGAACCCGGTGTCAAAACAGAGTCAAAAAGGCCAGAGGCGTGGGGGGGGGGCTCAGATGGGTGGCAAGGACGAGCCCGCACTTTGACGTTCCACTCCATGCCCCTGGTCCACACGACAAAATACCAGGCTTTTGATTCACAACAACAAGCGGGCGGGGGTAACAGGGTCCCAGTGTACGCGACGTACGTCGGCAACCGGGTCCGCCACCGTCATCACCATATAGGCCCACGCACATGAGCAGCCAACTTAACTCAGGATTCGAGTTATTTAAAAGAAACCATGATCCAGCAGTGTGAGGAATGGATTGGGTCCTCTAAGTGGGCCAGTCGATCAGATGTGATGAGGTCTAAGAGGCATTGGGCGAGGGAAGCGCATTACCATTGGCTGCGCGCGCGCGGGTATCATCCTGGCAGGCGCTTCACTATAGCGGAGTCTGTGGAAGTCTCGGAGGCGATTTGCACCCGTCGTGATCGGAAGATCGATTGGCATATGTTAGTTCATGGTACCCCAGTCGACAGTGCGGGCATCACCTGTGCTTAGATTACACGGAACCCGATTTGTATGGCCGTTGTTCCCACCGCCGTCGGTGGCCCAGAGATCGAGCATTCCTATTAGCCGGTTCATTTTATCGATTGGTTGAAGGCGGACAAAGACTAGTTTCGGGCATACTTTTCGCGCAGAAGTTAACAACCTCAACAGCTGGCTCTTGGTTGGTTGAAACAACTTCAGCCATTGTCTTTTGAGCAACATGTACACCTAGGGTAAGGTGACACCATACTAACAGCACAAGTACTAGCCAAAAGCCCATACACGCGTGTTTCGCCGATGTTTTGCCGCTGCATGGCGCAGCTGCGAGGGGTTCGGCTCGTCAGTGGGTCCCCCAGCATTCCCCGTGTGTTTTCTGGTAGATACTCCAATTTAGAAATTGTCACTTTTTAATTTCCTGCGAAATTTTGTGCGAAGTAGCGGCAAAACATCGGCGAAACACGCGTGTATGGGCTTTTGGCTAGTACTTGTGCTGTTAGTATGGTGTCACCTTACCCTAGATTATACTACTAGCTGCCTGTAGGCAGTTAATGAATATTACGCGGTTACCCGCTGTGGCTGATGGACTTTGGCCCAAATATTCATGTATAAAATTCTCGGTCTGTGCCTATAGACCTTGAATATACTGATCTACTCCTACTTCGCACAAAATTTCGCAGGAAATTAAAAAGTAACATGTACACCCTCCTGTCCAACTAACTCCGTCTTCCACGACCTTTACTTCGGAAGGTCTGTGCGTGTTCGTCTGTCCCATTGCACTGCAGCGAGCAGATTTAAGTTTGCCGCACTGATAGCTTACAAGGAATTTACACGTTAACCGTTCATGGGAAATTGTCCTTTTAAAGCGCCCTCCGCTAACAAAAGATTAGAAACTCTCTGTGTAGGCAACGAGTGTCAAACCAAGACTCAGTCTCTGTCGCCTACGACTGGCCCGCCACCTACTTGCTTTGACGTAACTGGACGACAAATTACTAACCAAGTGTGATAATTCGTGGTCCAGTTTTTTCGCCTAGCTGGAACAGGAAATTTAGTTGGGGAGGAGGGGTCGGGGGATACGGACAGCGTACCCGGACATTAATAGTCACCTTGAAAGTTATAATCATATGTGCATTGCATCTCAGCTTGTGGACGCCAATTGTTAGCCTCCGATGTTAAAGAGGAGGGAGGGTTTCAAATCAAACACACAAAGTGTCCGGCCGACTAAATTACTTAGGTCAGCACCGCGTTGCTGCCTGTGTTAGTGCTTTAGCGGAATTTTACTCGGCAGGCGCAGGATTATTGGACGCATTTGAATGTGAGCTCCCCAATCCAGAAAATAATTATGCCTGACGAAGCAAGATGTTCCGACGTCGAGAAGTTTGCCAGATCAAAAGTCGGGGATAAACGCAGTCAGTTGGGGTGTTTACTGCAGCGAGGCACCGACGGTGAGAGTCCCGCCAAGCCAAGACATAGGCACTGCTATTGTCAGCCCCGGCGCTAGGCGCGTGCATGCGCCAGAGTGTTTACCGACTGCAACCAGTGCTTTAGGCCCACAGTATTGATCGACGTCTCGGCAATGACAAGAGTCAAGCTGAGTCACCTGGGGCGCCAGCAGAGGGAAGTCTTGTCGCTATCGCCACTCCAAATAGACCTTTACGTGCACTTTCCGCTCAGCGTTAAAGTTCCATTGCAGGTAAATATCAATCGTTTTATCGATCGCATGAATTGGATGTCTGCTGCATGGTTTGAGGAGCTAAGACGCTCATGTGACCGCTGTTAACACAGGCAGATAATAAAGCGACATCATTGATAACCGGAGGGGCGGAATGCTAAAGATAAGAAGGAAAAAATAAAGAGAAGGCAATGACGAAAAAAATAAGAAGAGAAGGGGGAATAAGAAGAAGAAGAAGAAGAAGAAGAAGAGGGACTTGTTTCGCAAAAGGAAAGCACGATCAGCGTCGTGCGAGATGCCTGTTTTGTCAGGACCAAGTGCTGGCCGACTGCACTCCAGGGTGTCCGAGCAATCTCGCTCTCTGTCGTGCAAAAAGCTGACTACAGTAAGTGTCTAGGCGAGCAGGCCGGGTCACATGATACCGAGCCCACTAAGTCCGAGATCCACGACTAAATGTAATAACATCATCGGTTCTGCCTGATAGATGCGTTAGTCAGTTTAGTATGGCGTAAGAGGTCTCACTTACACGAATTTCCGCGGGACAGGAATTCCTCTCTGGTTCTCGATCGTTTCCACGACTCAACAAAGGTCCAGATCTTCCTAAAGGCTTTTGGCACTAGAACCTGCAGTCGTCCAGGACAAAATGCGCGGCAGAAAAATTTTCGACATTTGAACTAACATCATAATGGCTTTATTCTTTATTTCTTTCCCCAAATTATACCTTTTTTTAAGAAAACTAACTGTGATTATTTGGTGAGGAAATTTCATTCGCTTGGCGAATTCCAAGGAAAATCTGGAAAAAAAGGTTTAACGTTAGGAGTTAATCTAATTCTCCCGTGTGTTGTTTATCTGCATGGTAAAACGGATTTCCACCACAAGGACGTGGTAATTGCCTTGAAGTGTATCCGGCTCACAATAACTTTCTTGGACGCTTCATCTTCATCATCGTGTTTACTTTCTTTCAGCAGGAGGACCAATTATCCCGTCGTTTTATTTTAGCATTTTGGATCACGTTTTGCACGACTATTTGTCAAATAGGGCTTATTTTGTGCACAGGAAAATACTGCCTGCGACTTGTAAGCGGATATCCCGCTAGCCAGCGCATACAGACCGCATGGAACATAGCACGGGGGAAAGAAAATACCCTTTATTTAATATTTTTTGTTTATTTTATATTTCATAGATGTTTTGGCGGATTTGCAATAATTCATATTGACCCAACTGTGAAAAACTCGGCGCCTCGGTGGGATTCGAATCCACGCAGTAAAGGGAAAGCTTTAGTACAGCCAACGTTCTAACCACTTGAGCTACGAGGCCCCACCGGACGACGCGAGTTTAATCACATTTAGGTCAAGTTACCCGCCCAACCTACTGCAACGTCTGGAATCCACCAAATCTCAAGTCGTTAGAGCGTTGGCTGTACTAAAGCCTTCCCCTTACTGCATGTGTTCGAATACCATCGAGACGCCGAGTTTTTCACAGTTGGGTCAATATGAATTATTCAGAACCTGCTAAAATATATATGAATTAAGTGAGCCTAGTAGTTATCTGGTGGATTCTAGGTGAATTACTTAGAAAATTCTGCCTGGGCAGTCAACGTACTGTATCAGATTTGGTAGATTCCAGACGTCGCAGTAGGTTGAGCGGATAACTCGACCCAAATGCGATTAAACTCGCGTCGTCCGGCTGGGCTTCGTAGCTCAAGAGGCGCCGAGTTTTTCACAGTTGGGTCAATGTGAAGTACTTAATATTTATTTAATATACCGATGCAATTCTGTGTGCCTCTTCGCTCTTCAACTGACAGAAGAACTTGTAAAACTGAATTTGGAAGTTAGTAGAGGCAACGTTTTCGCAGCGCGCACGTTTGTAGATAGTGGAAGGAACTTCGATTTCCAACTTTGTGCTTTTGAAAGAATTTCATCAGTAGCGAATCCGTGGCTTTGGTAGCCAGGACATAAATGGGGAGATTTTCAAAACGACAGGAAGGTGAGAGGTGGTTATGCATTCGCACCTGATGGACATAATACTGTTAGGGGTGAGGGTAAGTGATTAGGGTTCGGAGTTAGGGCAACTATTCCTCAACCACCCAAAATACAACCGCGCGTACCCAATAGCTTTCCTTTTGCATACAAATACTCGACCTCGTCGCCTGGGTGTTTCCCGGCCCCACTTGTAATAACCCCTATCACCACCGATCCCGTATTACAAGCAGCTGGAGTCTTTTTACCTCGGGTGTGGCCACACAACCACATCTGACCGAAAGGAATTCGGAGAGCAGAAGGTGCTCTGTACGTTACGCTACAGGTTAATAAAACGACTGAAATTCTCCATCTTAATGAATTCCTCAGAATAACACACTTGTCAGATGAAATTGCTGTCCTTAATTTCTGCTGTTGAAAAGTAAAAATGATTTTACAGTTGCTAATATAAAATGTTCGCTTATGACGGCGAAAAAATGCAAAGGCGTGCACAAAAATGCAGAAACCACATAATTGTCATTCACACCTATTTCGCGGCGAGCGGGTAGGTTAGACATCGGTGGAGGGCAAGGCGTAAGAGAGCGAGAGAGAGAGAGATCAACAAAGCATCAAAAATGCCCAGAGGCGAGGGGATGGGGAGGACGACAGGAGAAATGCGTATGGCATAGGTTGGTCAGGTTGGGGGTGAAATTGGACGCCTAGTAGTCAAGAGCATCTCGATGGGATCGAAGACGAGAAGATCACCGGAGGAGCTGTCAATGGTAACCAGTGTGGGCAGAAGACGCTGTCCCGTTTCCAGACTTGACACTCTGCCTACAAAAAGTCGACTTCGCAGCGGACAGCCATGGTAGTCTGCGTGGCCGGGTGAGTCAAAGACCTGCAGGACACGACAGCGAAAGAGCTCCAGTTGGGAGGGCTCGCCGGAAGCTGACTTAACTGACGACTGCATCATAGCGGGCCGAGAGCCGGCAGTGACTGCGCCGCCGGCGACATGGGGACGCGATTGGCCAGTCTCGGAGCGGGCGAATGGCCAAACGCAGAGACGATCGGAAAGGCCGGAGAGAACACTGCCATCTGCGGACCAGCAGAGACGCAGGAGCCAGGAACCACCAGCGCTGGGCGCGTCAGAGGAGAAGCTGCGACGATGCCAAAATGCCGACCGATCGGGGTTCCTGTGGCAGAAAACAAAAGCAGACAAAAAACACACGATCAAGTTGAAGTTGTTTGGTTTCCTTGCCTGATCTCGACGATGCCGCCGAATCGACATTAAAAGTTGGCAAAAAACGCGTGAGGAATACCAATATGCCCTCGGTCGGCAGCAAATATAACCGGAATCCTACGGGGTGAAAATCCGCACCTAGACGTACAGTAGGTGGGCAAACTCACGAAATATCAGCCTAAAATACGAAATGCGTTTTCGTTCCAGGATTAAGCTGCGTTGAAAAACTAATCAGTTCGAACGAACTTCCTTCCGGCTGTATGCAAAAATCTATACTCTGTAAAAAATGGCTACTCATGAAGCATGCAGTTTTCTCATTGATTTCCGATGCGCGAGCAAATTCAATTATATTACATAGAAAACATGTTATCCCAAGTCTTTCATACGCAAGTGTCTGAAGAAGCCCCACCCTGAGCGGTCGGAAGGAGAAAACCCGAAATTTTGGCTCACAATCCCTTATGTGAAAAACGTGTCAGAGGCGACGGCAAGAATCCTGAAGCCTTTCGGGATCGTAGTGGCTCACAAGCCAGAGTCAGCAATCAGACAGCAAATAATGAGGCCCAAAGACCCGCTACCGGTGACAGAACAATCAGCGGTGGTCTACAGCATAACATGCCAAAACTGTGATGCAAGGTATGTTGGTGAAACGGGCAAACGTCTTGGCACAAGATTGCATGAGCACCAGCTTGCAATCAACCGCAAGGACAAGCTGTCTATGGTTTATGGCCACGTCAAACAGCAGAACCACAATTTCGCCTTTGAAAAGGCAAGGGTAATCGGCCGAGCCAATGATAAGATGGCCAGACTGATGCTCGAAAGTTGGTCCTCGACTGGCACACTCAACAGAGCCATAGATCTGCATCCCGCCTATCAGGCGCCACCCACAAGGCTCGAGTCAGTGCGGACAAGGCCATCAGGACAGTCGAGCAAAGTGACGCGTGGCCGACAGCCGAGTTCGGCAGAAAGTGGGAGAGAAGCCGGCCGGGGGTCATGTGACCAGCATGGGACGCCACCTCACCGCGACGCCCACGAGGCTGAGATCAACTCACATGAGCCCCAACAACTGATCAGTCCGTTGAGTGACGAGGGGGAGGCCGACAAGCATGCGGGCTCGCCAACAATTACGATGGCCGCAAAGGGGTCATTAGTGGCAGGAGCCCACCGGCGGTCAATCGTGTAGAGATCAACGCTAATTGGCGGCGAACGGGCAGGTCAGAGTTCGTGCCTCGCGCACGGATATAATACCAGGCCGGTATCAAGG